CGTGCGGCCCGGGTTTGATCCTCAGCACCACATACCAACAAAGATGTTGTGTCTGCCGAGAACTAAAAAATAAATATTAAAAATTCTCTCTCTCTATCTCTCTCCTCCCTCACTCTCTCTTTAAAAAAAAAAAAATCTTCCAATTATGTAAAAATCAACAAATGTTTTGGAGGGCTTCACTATTGCCACCTATAGAGTATGGAGACTGGGCTGGAAAACATGACTTCCCTCCAACTTTCACCCCACAACTTTGGAGCATTCATATCTTCTCAGGTTGTCTATTTCCACTCCCAGAGTCTCACTTGGATGAACACTCTAGGTGGTTTTCCCTCAAAGCAAGGACATACAGAAGCAACATATACATGGTAGAAAATGATTTCAAAGTGGTCATTTTCCACGAGTCTGCAGGTTTTCCCAGGTGCAGAATGCTGGGGTGCCCAGTGGAGACACCTAGCCCATGAGATGGCAATCTTTGCTTTCTCTGCTTTCTCCAGTCCCAGGAGCTAACATCTGAGCATGCTACCAGGGATATTTCTTTACTTATTGATGAATCTGAGAGCCCATAAACAGCTTATATAAAATAACCCCTCCATCGACACAGGCTTTCCTATACTCATTAGAGAAGAAATAAGTTTTTATCTCAATRCAATGAGGAGCTGACTACATAACTGGGTTTTACCATTCCAAGCAGAACAATAGCTCTCATTTTCTAAGAGGTCTGGTTTTCTGAATGTTGCTTTGAGATTGAAGGTTCCCCTCCAAATGTACTGACCCTACATTTTGGTGAACTAAATTGACTTCTGGGAAAAAAGTAAACTGAGTGAAAGGTAGTGAAGGGCCTGACCAGCCCAAGCAAAGCCTCTCAGTATGGGCAGTCATTAGGACTGCAGCTAAGGCCCAGCAGTCCAAGAGCAATGGGCACTGCCTTGCTCATTTGGTGAACAGTCTTTGTGAGTGGTTTTTGTGGATTATGACATATTTTGAGCTAATTTTAAAGGAAGACAAAGACTTCATACCTACAGAGAGAAAGTAAAACAACAGAGGTAAACACTGAACAGCAGAAAAGGATTTTGAACTACATGAATCAGGTTTTAGGTCAGAAAGATCTCCATGTGACCAAGGTCCTCTACTACCTACCAGCACAATATGGAACMCACCACTGGGCCTCTCGTAGCCTTGATCCTTCCTTCACTTGTAAAATGAGGATAGGAATACTACCTGCTCTCAGGGTCAACACGAGGATTATATGTTCTCCTCTGGCTCATGATACAGACCCAGTATTAAAAAGAATCACAAATACACTTTCCCAACATCATTCTTAAAGATCACATAGTATCCCAATGTGTGGGTGCACTTCATATTATTAAATTAATCTCTTCTTGTTGGATTCTAGGCTGTTTGAAATGTGTTAGTATTTTCAGCCACACTGGGATAAACACCCTTGGACATGACTCTTTAGGCACTCATGTGATGATTTCCTTAAGACAAATGTCTAGATGAGAATTTTAAAACCAAAGGAAAGGTACACATTGCCAAATTATCCTCCAGGAATGTACACCATTTACTCTCCAATAGCACTGCAGCTTCTAAGAGATTATCTTTAGCTGAGCTTGCTCCCAGGGATGAGCCTCTGGACCACTTTGGATCCTGTTTGTTTTGTTTTGATGTTCTTCCCAGTGGTGCTCTTCTGATGGGCAGAGCGCCGCTGTCTCACCTCTCAGCTGCAGCAGTGGCTGCAGCACTCATGGCAAAGTGACGGATGGTGCTCTCCTCCAGGTACTTCTGCTCCCACTTGGTCATGTCAGCCTCCAGGGCCAGGATCCGCTCCTCCTTCTCCCGCACGAGTTCCATGAGGGCCGGAGCATTGTATTCTGGCATGCTGGCTGGCTGGCCATTTCCATGTTTCTGGATAAGCAGAAATAACATTGTGGTGCTCAAAATGGGCTCTAAGGTTGACCACATCAACCCTGTTTACACAGTTACCCACATGAAGCACACACGGTCCTCGAGATCCTGCAGCAATTCACACACAACCCCATCATGCCCATGTTCCCTTCTCTCCAATGTGTACCGCCTGAACTCAGTGGATCCAAACACCATGCCACCTATTATGGTTCAGATGTGAGGTGTCTACCAAAAGCTCACGTGTGAGACAATGCAGGAAGGTTCCAAGGAGAAATGATTGGGTTGTAAGAGTCTTAACCCAATCAGTGATTTAATCCTCTGATAGGGATTAACTGAGTGGTAATTGAAGTGGTCGGATGAGGCTGGAGGAGGTGGGAATTAGAGTGTGGCTTTGGTGTATATATTTGTATCTGGAGAGTGGGGTCTCTCTGCTTCTTGATCACCRTGATGTAGTTGCTTCCCTCTGCCACACACTCTGCCATGATGCTCAGCCTCATCTCAAGCCCCAAGAAATAGAGCCGGCCTTCTATGGACTAAGACCTCTGAAACCATGAGCCCTCAAATACACTCTTCCTCCTCTATAGTTGTGCTCCTCAAGGTCCTTTAGCCACAGCAGCGAAAAAGCTGATTAACACACCACCTTACCTCCACAGTCCTCTATCTCATGTAATAGCTATATAATTCTGTAAAACAGACAATATCCCAATTGTACAGAGAGAATAAGCTTCTGAGAGGTTAAATTAATGGTAACATCCTCTCAATCAGTAGTAGAATTGGGATTCAAACTGGAGTCTGGCTCCACAGCTTGGGGACTTTGCATGATAATAGTGGCCTGTCCAAGGCAATGCAGTCAACTTATACCAAATGCAAGAGTAGTGTCCAGGACACTTCTCCACAATTCAAAGAAGTGATTCCAGCTGATTGCTTCCCCTGGGGCTTGAAGACCAAAAGGAAAGGCCAGAAAGCAGGAGTGAGGTGCCCAACATGCCTGCTGTCAGATGCCAGAGTCTCTGGCAGTGGAGGTATAAAGATTTGCCCCGCCAAAGGCCTGAGAATAAGAAGCAAATTAGATAATGCATGTGAAAGCAAGAGATGTCTAATGCAAGACAAGGTCATTTTCTGGCCCTTTCTTTTCATCTGTGTTGGTAAGAGGAAATAAAATGGCTATTACCTGGACTGATCACATTTCAGAATTTTTTTCTCTGAATTCAGGTATGCTATTTCCCTAAAAAGTATGACATGGGAGATGATGGGATTTTCCAGGAAAGTCTAAACTCAAACCAGCAACAGAAATGGCACATCCCAGAGTCTCAGGTTTAGGTGCCCAGTCTGAACATGAGCCAGCTTCCTTTGCACTTGGGAGGAGAATGATTTCATCCCAGCTGTTATACATCCTGGGACATGCATTCCCCTCATGTTTTCCAGTGATCACAAATTTTAAATGTAGAGCTACTTGCAAGGTGAGAAGTACTTAAATGTTTCACCGAGACCCACATAATGTTCTAGATTAAGAAAGGACTCGAATTACCTACAACAGCAGCTGGGTATTGATCTGCACTGATGTAATCTAATCCTAGCAGAGAAGAAAACAAATGTGCCTATGGGATTTTCTATTCAGCTTTTAAAAATTCCAAATATAAATTATCCCAGAAAGAGGCAGCTTGTCAGGGACTGACATTTAAGTAAAAATACAATGAAAGGCACATACCTGTCCTCGCCTGACCTGTATAGGAAATCACTGATCCCATCTGGCCAGGCACCCGGACTCAGGCAGGAGGACAGATGAATCAGTCCACCAGATGAGAAGCTCCTCTATTTTTAGAAATTTTCCAAGAAAGAGCTCCCACGGCCTCAGTAAGCTGCCATCTATGCTTGTCAGTTTCTATCTACATCTTTTCTGTTACCATCTCAGCTGGCTTGTTTTTGCAGAATCCTTTTGACCTCACATGAGATAATGACAAACTCTTCACAGGCCCCCTAATTTGGGTCATCAAGTTATGTAATTAATACACAAGTTTCAGCCTTCAAGAGTACAGAGAGCATGGGCTAATGAGTAAGTATGCTAGTTAGAAAATCAAAATGAGGGTCAGGCAGGACAGCTTCTGACACCCACTTACTTAGCTAGTCCACATATATGTACTGCATAAATACCATGTGCCAGGGATACAACAGTGAACAATGCAGGCAAAATCTCTGCCCTCGATGAGCTCACATCAAAGAATGTCTCAATGAGCTACATGACCTTGGGCTGGCCCCTTAACTTCCCTGGGTCTCATTTCTCACTTTCAGAACAATCCCACCTTCTCTCATAAGATCCAACAGGACTACTGTGGAAGAAGTGAAAATTACATAGAGTTCTGTGTTTAAAAAAAAAGATGAAATTGAAAGCTCTTAAAATATATAAATTTTTCCCCTCCCTATTTTTAAAAAACTTATTTATCTTTCATCTCCCTCACAGTTTCTATTGATATTAAAGTACTATGTCACCTCCGTGGTAGAGGAGATATGACCTATAATGACAAGATCAGTTGAGTTTCTTTATAGGCTAGTCCTAACCTTTCTTTCTCTCCCTGACTCTTCAATCAGCCTTACTTCTGTTTGTCACTCTTTCCCCCCCACCCCCAGTGGAAAAGTTGGGTAAGTGGAGAATTTGACAGAGGATACCAAGAATGCCCTAAGCCTTCAAATGACACTGAAGGTAATGATGTTAACATAAACGCAGCACTGAGAGTTTGCCTTTTCTAACCAATTGCTAAAGAAGCGCTTTTGTGCAGATTTTCTCAATTGTTGWTACAAGCATGAGCTAAGTATAATCAGTTTTCCTCACTTTATAGACAAGGTAGTTGAGGGGGCCAGGTGGACAGACTCAGCTGCATCCCAGTGTTAGTCTAAGGACAAAGCCCTTGTGTAGGGTGTTGATCCAATAAGTACTCTAAGCCACTCTTCAGAATCATGTCCTGGGGAAAGTGGCCAGACAGAGTGGCTGGTCTTACTGCTTTGCTGAGGGTGGAGATGACCCCAGGCTTTGTTATAGTGTGATTTCCAAAGGGGTGGGATAAATGCCTGATTGCCACAGAGGGTGAAGGAGCATGGTGTGGTGTGGGCTGTGGAAGCTCTCCCAAGGCTGCCCATGTCCGAGTCAAGAAGGGGCAGGCCTATGCTTGGCTGTGTGGGTGAGTGAGGAGGAGGAGATGGGAGAGACCTGGGACACTCTTTCCTGGAAAGGTCACGATGCTCAGATGATCCTGTGTTCCTGAGTGGGCTCCAAGTCATCCCTGCTGGGTGCCAGCAAAACTGCTCCACACTTGTCCAGGGGCTTCAGACCTGAGTGTGACCAGATTCTAACTTTTACAGCATCTGCCACATGGCACTGGAGCAAAACTCAAGAATATTTGGTTGCATTATTTTGTAATATTTTTACCTTTTCTGGTTATATAATAATGTATACTCAATGGTAAAATTAGAAAATAAAGAACTATTAAAAGAAAAAAAATAATGCGTATCTTTTTAACAAGAGGGCAAAGGCAACAGGAAAATCTCAAGTATATTTCATATCACAGGGGATATAATCATACTTCCATTTTAAACAAATCAAACTGCAATATTCTTTATAAAGAAATGTCAAGCATCCATGTTCTGTTCAACTCTAAAGATTGTCTCCTCCTCTCTGGTCTCATGTCAGCCATACACAGCTGCAGATCTATCAGTTCCTGAAGACAACTGAAATGGCAAGCTGAGCCCTTTCCCTGGAGAACCTCAATTCTAACACTGGGGCCCTCTGAGGTGTGCCTAGTCTGTCAGTTGCCTCTGCATATGGAAGGAGGAGGACAGAGGAAAGAATGTGGGTGAGAGAGCATGAGTCTGCACGTGAGCAGTGAACTGTCCTCTGTGGCAATGATGGTATTTTTCACATAATTCCAGATTCACATTTCTTCTTGATTCATCACAAAGATAACAGAGTCTGGTTTCAGAGCACTCAAAAGAAGAGCCAAATTCAGTAACCAAACTGCAGGGTGTGGCTACCACATTAACTGGGAAAGAACATTCTTTTTGACTCTAAATATTGAGATGTGCCCATTTTGTCAGCCAAAGACTTGCCAGGGTCTACTGTACTGGATACTAGAGAAGGCTGCCCTCATGTTGGGGAGGTTCGGATCTCAGTAACTGAACAACAAAGAACAGGCAAAGGGCTTAACTGATGCCAGAATATGTGGCACAGGTTCTAAGTCTCAGAAGACCAGAGAAAGACCTTCTCTTCCTTGCAAGCCATCAACCAGGCAAGGTGGTAGGAAGTCAGGGTGGGTTTCTGGATTTTCTGGGCAATCTTGGTAACACCTTCTTTTCCCAAGTAGACACACCCAGTGGAAACTGCATGGCCTGCCAGGCAAGAGGGTGGAGTGGGCCTGAGCTCATGCTTTCAAGTGTTTTCAAGTGTTTCAATCACAACCACTATGCCCTATCCAGTAGATAATTCCACAGAGCCTGCCTTGCATTTCCCTGATATCCCAATACACCCTTCATCAGCTCTACAAAGGGCTTTGTCCACCATGTTGGCAGAAGATGGACAAGCCTAGTGTCATCTGCAACCAGGAACCTTTGATGAACCTGGACTGGAGCTTTTTTGCAGACTTCTCTCTACTGAAGCACCCATGGACCATGAGCTGGATTGTTCTACTCAGCACTTACTCAGAGGTGAGTTCCACTATCTCCTCTCTGTTGCCAGCAGAGAAGAGGCAGAAGGAATAACTTATGGCCAGTGCCACTTCCTAGGAGGGGTCTTGAGCTCCTTCTCCTGAAGATTCGATGATCACCATGTTCTATGATTCTAGTCCCTTACTAGTGGTTTCAGCTGTACCATGGATTCTGCTCCTACACCACACTAGCAGCCTTCAGCCTGGCCACCATCTGTGCTCTAGATGGTTCTGTCCCTGATCTTCTGTGTCACATTCACCTCCAACTTAAAAACCTCAGAGGTGTTGACTCTCTTTTAATTACAGGAACAAGACCAATCCCGACAGTTGACCCAAGGCTTTCTGCRATGGAGCCATGCTCCTCGCCGTGATCTCACTGGGCATTGCCTGCTCACAGCAGCACCAGTCTTACCATGATGTTTCACGACCCTCTCCTTCACATATCCTCCTCTTCCTCTACCTCCATGTTATTGCCCCTGAATTCCCCAAACCTTACCTTTCAAAGTCCAGCTCACATCTCCTCTTTTCTGAAGSTATTTAAAGGCAAATTCCATCCTCCCCCTAGACCCAAGTCAGTGACCCCTTTTTTCCTCTCTGTGTTCCTCCACAGTGAGTAGCCCACCTGACTCCCTCGCTGCACTCAGGGCAGACTGCAGTGGCTGGCTCACAGGGGCCTCCATCCTCTGGACAAGAATCTAATTCACCTGCTGCTCAAGCCTGTCCCTCACCTGCTGGGTCCTCAGTGCATCCAGCTCTCTCTCCAGCCAGGTCCGCAGCCTGCGCTCCATCTGCTCTCGCTTCTCACACGCGGATTGCAGCTGGGTCAGGGCCTGCTGCAGCTTCTCAACTTTCTCCACATACGCTTGCTTCTCTCGAAGCTGAGTGCAGAAGAGCAAAGAAAGCACAGAATTGAGACCCGTCATTCTCAATGGTGAGGCGGGGGAAGGGTCGGACTACCTGGAGATCCTATTTAAACCACAGCTGTGTGCACCTCTTCTTCCTGTCCCCCAGGGCTGCTGGTGACAGAAAAAGTTCACACAAAGGTCATCAGTTACACCTGGAGTGGCTAAGAAGTTTGAAACGGAAGACCCTCCAGGATACCTGCATTTGATAATTTGTTCAGTTTTGAGCTCAATGTTTGATCATTGCTTACATTAATTATAGCAATGGAAATGAGGTTGAGAAAAAGTTTTTAATATCAAGAAGAAAGGCTTATTCTGTAATGTCAAAACTTGTATACAACATCATCACAACTGTTTKTCCATGAAAAAAGACTGGGAGGAAATATGTAAAGCATTAACCATGTTCATCTGTGTGTCAGAATAGTAATTTCTGTGTATGAGAATTCTGTATGGAAAGTAAAGACTTTATATTATTTCATTACTTTTCTATAATATAAATTATTTTATAATGAGGGAAGTGTGTATGTATACATGCATGTATATCCATTTGAGTATAAACATTTTTTTATTATAGATATTTATGGAGTAACTTTCACCTGAAGATTTCAGAGTCCTTTAGAGCTGAGAAGTTAACAGCTCTGAAGAGATAGGAAGGGCATAATGAACACTCAACACAATGGCTGAGGAAATGGAAATTAAGGTTGAAATGATTTATGTCAACTTCACATCAGGCATGGACTTAGGATCATGACAACAACTTCAAAATTTTACCCTCAGACTCTGTTTTTTTTCCATTTGGGAGTCTGGCTTGTGTTCATAAATCCAGGCACATTTTTAGATTTCTGGGAACTGGCTGATGCCAAAAATCAGGCTGAGGCATTTACTTGATCTGGTCTCAGGTGGGAGACACCAGATCCAATTTCCTGTCATTCTGCACCTGGGTGTGCTGATGTCCTGCAGGCAATTCAATCCTGAGCTCCAGGAGAGACCAGGCTGAAAAGCTAGGATGTGTTAGTGACTTTGCAGCTTGCTTGTTTCTGACTGAGTGGGCAGCAATGCTGTATGCTACACCTATACCCCRACCTCTTGGAAGTCACTGGAAGAAAATGGAGGCATTTCCAACCTTACAAAGAGGGACAGAAACTTGAAAGGTTTTTCTACTTCTCTTTTGGGGGTTCAGTTCTTATCTGAACCCTTTCATTCATTGTGCTTTTGAACATCTCATTCAATTTAGTAGACTTCTGAGAACCTAATAAGCACTGTTTTTGTGCTTTTTAGAAGCCTCAGTGGATTCAATATTTTATGTACCGTTCATTTGTACATTTTCCACTACACACAGTTTCCTGAGTATGTAGTCAACAGAATACAAGCCAGCCCGAGATTTGTCTGTTTTGGTCCCTGCTGGCCAATGAGCAGTGTGTCCTAATGTGTATTTGTTGAATAAATGAATGAATATTATCCCTAAGCAACTGCAGGAATGAACTGTCTCCTTTGCTTTTTATCACCCTTAAATCTAGCAGGAATACATTATGATGAGAAGCATCTGTAACAGTGATGATAAGAGCCAACATTTTTAGAGCACTAYCCACATCAAGCATGGTGTGTTATGGAGTATCTCATTTAATCCTCCCAAAGGTAATAGGAGGTACAGTCCTTTATTATCCCCATTTGAGAGATGAGAAAACCCAGTTCGAAGAAGCTGAGTGACCTGCTCAAGGCCAAACACTTGGTATGTCCTGGGGCTCACATCTCACCTCCACACCTGGCTCTACAGTCTACTTTCAACCACCACAGTAAGCTAGTGTAGGCATGTGCACTGAATTAAGACCTTTCGAAAGAAACTTCAATAAGAACAAGCAGTGAGGCTGGAAGTTAGACACATGAGACGCCACTAAGCAAGGATGTTTCATAAAAACCATGACAAGAAGAAACCCTAATGGCGATTGTAAAGAGCCTGTCTTCAAGGATCCCACAGCCAGCTTTCACTTGAACAGTACAACAATTTAAAAGATTATGATTGTCCTCAGCTTCACACACAAAGACAGAGCCACAGGAAGTGATTTCAGTGATGACAATAATAAGTCCAGGCCTCCCTTCCTCAGAACAGACCTCCTGTCCTTTAAGGGTTCAGGTCATTTTCTGTGGTGACAAGCGAAATACTCAGCTGCTGCTCGGGATCCTCCCGCTAATATTAGAATCACAGTCCCTACACCGGGTTTCTGAGGCTTCTACTGGGCAAGGCCCTTGTTTACCGAAATCCCTTCTCTCCAGCTGCATTCCCTTCAAGTATGGAGGTTTGCGGGGACATCTGAGTTACCTGGCCCCAGGTAACATTTTCTGAAAGGAAAACTTTTTTTTTTCTTTTTTTCAACAATCCACAGTTGCACAGTTGTTGTTTGTATGCCAAAGCATCCAGCTAAGTACTGACGTAGACTGTTTCAGTTAAACCTCTTGCTGACACAGCACGTTTGCCTCCCAGGAGGGAATCTGCTCAGGTCATCTCCACAGCACAGGGGTGCCTGTGTCCCCCAGGGAGCTGGATGGTGCCGGCACAGGCCCCTGGCTGCCTGGATGCACCTCCCTTCCTCTCTTGCCTTGACCTCACAGCCAGGCTCCTCTGGCTTGAACCTCAGAAATGGTTATTCTGACTGCTCTGTTAGGCTTAAAGGGAAAGTGCACATCACAAAAGTTAAGCTGAAGGGTGATTTCATCAGACTCTACTAAATCCGGTGTTTGAGTGGGATCCAAATTTCCTGGACTAGGAGCTGGAGGTACTGTGTGGGTCAAGACAACCTCTGGAAATTAGAAACACATCTACAGGATACCACCCCACACTGCTCCACCAGAAGGCTTTTGCCTTTTTCTATGTAATCGGGAGCCTAAAGACACAGGGACTGAACTACTTTCCAAAAATCGTTAGTCCCTTCTCTGCATAGGCACCAGTGGTTTCCTGTCCTTATATTTATTGCCAGCTCTGGACACTTGCCTACCAGTGGGCTGCAGGCAGGGCCTAAGGCTGTGAGCTCTTTGCTGATGGTATTCTTGTGTGCCTTTCATACTCTGCCTGGCTCTGGGGTGGATAAACGCTGCTTTTATTCATTTATATTTGGGAGGTTTCCCACATCCCTCCCCGGTCTCAACTCCTTGGATCTGGATCTGGTTAAAGTAAGCAGGGGTAGGAAAAGGAAGGGGAGGCCCTCAGGGCTCTGCCTCCCTCCTCCCTGACCCAATCACCCTCCAGCTTGGTCTCACCTCCTCTTCCAGCTTGATGACTCTGGCCTGAGCATTGCTCAAAGCCTGGTCCAAGATCTCAATGTGTCTCCGATGGTCCTCACTCGCAGTGCGCACAGCTGCTAACTCCATCTCTAACTTCTCCTTTTCCTTTAAGAACTCTTTGTCTAGAAGGAGACAAGAACAAAACCACCTCTATCAAAAAAAGCTGTCTCTGGGCTCACGGCCAGTCTACATCTGGCAAGGATTAAAAATAAAAACGCATGCAAACGGTAAAGGATTGAATTACCACTATTGCTCTCTCTTAATAGTGGTATGTAAGGTGAGGACTTTCTCAAAAACCACTATTAACTCCASAGACATTCCAGACTGCAGTTAAGAACTAGCCACCCCATGCTCTCCATAACTCACTTCCCTAGAACATTGACTTCAGTGCTTCAAACATATCAATCAAATCAACCTTGTACCCACTATCTCATTTTATGCCCCACCTCCTCTGCCTCCATTTTCCAAGTCTGTAAAAGTAATGATATGAATATTGTCATTCACAGGAAAATAAACCAAGGTTTGTTTTGTCTGAGGCCAGACAGTAGAGGGGAGTTTCCAGTCCAGGCCTTAATCTCGAGCTGGATCCTCTTTTCATATGACCTGGCCCCACATTTTCTCCTAGTCCTATTCAAGAGACAAAAGGGACCAATGCTTCACAGTCCTTCAAAGGCAATATAAGTGCCAGTGATTGTGGTTCTCTCTGCATGTGGAAGCCAGGCTGGGGTGTCCTCAGTTCCTCTCTCCACCTCCCTCTACAGACTGCTGTTCTAGATTAAGCAGGGGTGTTCACAGAGTCATGGGATGAGCATTTCTTAAGGGAAAATGTGTTTCTTGTTACCAAAGCAATGTATTTTGTTTTTAAAGTAAACTATATGTCATTTATGGTACAGAAAACTCAATGTGAAAGTAAGGGTAAGGAGTGGGTTAAATAGACTACTGTAAACTCTACAACAGAATAGGATGCAGCCATTAAAATTAAATAAGAGAATCTTGGTGACAGAGAAAAACACTTCACCATTGATAAAAGGTGATTACAAAACCACACGCACATACACTATTCCATATTTACAGAAAATAAGATATATCATTGTAAGAGCAATAATCAGAAATTGATTTTGGTGTGCCCATGTCACATCCTAGCAGTCCACCCTGAAGCACATAGAGTCCCAGTCTGGGTGCTACACCAGCATGTTAACAGTGGTTGTACTCACTCATTATTCCCTCCTACATGTAGTCATTCATTCATTTAACAAATAAGTATCAGAAATTAAAGAGAAGCACTGTGGACTCTGAAGCAATAGAAAGAATGCTGCAGTAAAGGAGCAGAAAGATGTGGTTTTGAAGACAGGGCATGAAAATTAAAAAGACTAGAAGGCTACAAACATCAGATAATAAATCACAACTTTAGAGCCAGAAGGGACCATAGGAAACATCAAAATTCAGTTCTATCCCCTTTGCTTTATGGGTATGGAAAGGAAAGCCCACTGGGGTGGAACCAGGTCCAGAATTCGGATCTCCCGATGTCCTACAACGTCCTTCCCGCTGCACTGCCCTCACACTGTGAAATTATGTGGATGGGATCAGAGGGCCATGGAGCAGCTTCTGCTAAATGAGTAAACTTTTAATCTTAAGTAGTGCCTGTGCTTCCTAGAAACAAAATGAGCCCACCAAGATCCTGACCCCAAATAGCACTGCTTTGGGGCTCTTGGTGCTTAATACAGTCACCAACTGCCCTCCTCCTTCCCCTTTCAGTGGCATTTGAAATGCTGCCCATGAAACCTCCTTTCCAATCCAAGGAAAATGGGCATGCAAGAGCCTGAACAAATGGGCCAACAGCTGCCCACCACCCACAGCCCTGAATAGGCCACAGCATTTCATTCTTTCTGTCCAAACTCACTGACATCTGAGCACCAGCTCCATGGTCAGATAATGTTTCAATGGGCAGGGTACCTGCTGGTCTTGTCCAGCCTTGGAGGGCACCCAGGAATTGCTAAGCAGGCACTGCTGGGAATGAACCACTGGATTCCAGGGCCTCTACTTGGTTACTGACCTAAACATAGAAGGTCCTCTCTTTGTTGAGGCTGCTGAGTATACATCAATTTTGATCAGAAGCAGTAAAATGACAGGTGGGACTTATGAACAGGAGCTACAACCAAAATTTCTTGTTCTGAGCAAATTGAGGATTGCAATTATTACCATGACACAATGACAGCTGCCAAGATAGAGTTCTGAATTAAGAAATCCCTGCAACACACACGATTCCAGAATTTGCTGTTTCCTTGCTATGTAGTATCATGGAGTGGTTGAAGAATTGAGTTGAACACCAGGAAGACCTGGATTCAAAGCCCAGGCCCACCACTTCCCAATTATGAGGCCCCAGGCAAGGTAATTGGACCTCTCTGAACCTCAGCTCCCTTATCTCCTTGATGGAAATGACAGCATTTGCATCACAGTGTTGTTGTGACACCTCAGTTAGTGTAGACCAATGTAAAGTGCAAAAGACGTGAATATTTTATATGTTTTATTCTATATTCCCTGGCCTGAAAGAGTGGCTGGCTGAATAATATTGCTGAGTGAGCAAATGAGACTCTCTTATATGCCAAGTTCAATGCCAACTGAACAATAAATTGTAGCTCTTGTTAGCTGTTACGCATTCAGCATCCTGTGATCTCCCATCAGCCGACTATACAGCTGTCCACTCTACCTTTGTCCCACTGTTCATGGAGAAGCCACTGCTCATCAGAGGTTTGTACTGACCATGGACTTCCCCAGTTCACTCCCTGCCCAGGCTCCCTGAACCCCACAGTGTGGTGCCAATATTGATTAAACTCCAAAAGTTCTGGAATACTTTGTAGTACATGGGACAAACCATCTCTGTCCTGAGTTTCATGACTTTGGACTTCATGTTGCAGCTACATCTTTATCGCTCAGACTGGCTCAGAGGTATCTGCCCTCTGATAGGAAATAGTAATCTCAATGATCAAGGTTTAAAAACAATGTCCATGACGACAGTGATAATAACAACAATATCTGCTTGTGTTTGTTGAGTGAGTTCTGTGTTCCAGGAATGGTTACTTATATCATTCACTTTAATTATTCCCTCGATATTTCCTTTATTCTGGGTTGCTGTATGAGGTAGGCACCATTATTATTCCTATCTTCCAGTTGAGGAAAACGTCACTAAGAATGTATAAGTGACTGTCCCCAAGAAGTGATGCTCATCAATGGGGGAGGCAGAATTTGCATTTGTACCTCTCTAATGCATGCTCACAAGGGCTGCCTTTCCTGTCCCMCAGACACAGACATGCACTACAGAATCACAGAAGCAGGACACAAGATAAAAGTCATGTCACAAATTGAAGTATGCCATGGTCAGATCATATTTCCCAAAACCCAGCAATTACATTCATATGCAGAACCATTTACACACATTAATTAATTAAGCACTGCATGGAGGCAACACAGAATATGGTTAAAAGCTGGAGTCTAGACTTAGGCCACTTAGGTTCTTATCCAGCTCTACCACCTATGGTTTTGTGACTTTCAAAGTAAGTGAATCTCTATGTGCCCCATTTTCCTTACTTTTTTGGGGGGTGGGGTACCAGGTATTAATCTCAGGGGCATTTGACCACTGAGCCACATCCCCAGTCCTATTTTGTATTTATTTAGAGACAGGGTCTCACCGAGTTGCTTAGCGCCTCGCTTTTGCTGAGGCTGGCTTTGAACTTGCGATCCTCCTGCTTCAGCTTCCCAAGCTGCTGGGATTACAGGCATGCACCACCACGTCCAGCTACATTTTCCTTACTTTTAAAGTCAGGTACACAATAGTACTTACTTCAAAAGGGATAATTAAGTACCCAATAAATGTCAACTAGGATAACAATTTGGTTATTATTGCTGTACCAGGAAATGTGACATATTCTGGGGCTATAAGGTGAGTAAGAGTGCATTCTGTTCTCAAACAGGCAGGAAGAGGCCAGGACATGGAAAAGTGCTGTGACAAGTTGCTCTAATAGATGCATGCAGAGGGTGCTATGAGGAGAGAGAGGAGGTCTAGCTAGGCCTGGGGCAAGGAAAGGGAGCCACAGGTGGGGCAGCTGGGTTTCCTGAGTCTTTCAAGACATGAGGACTCTGAGGTGTATAAGATTTTCTCAAAAGTCATCCTTTGGGAGAAGACAGGAGTGAGTCCCCCAGCTCCTAGGAAGGGTCACTGAGTGTTTTTTTTCTTTTCCTTTTTTTGAAGGGTCCTTCAGTTTATTACTATSTAAGTCCAATGGGATGGATCTCAAAAAAGGCCAGACTTGCTGTGAATTTTTGGTCAGGCTCCAACRTATATACTGAGAATTCCTAGAACAGGCAAGTTGACACAAGGGAATTCGTGCCCAGAATGGTCTGTTTGCTCAGTGGATACGAATTACCCAGAACGGTGTGGAGCGGGGTTGTTTAGCCTGATGGCTCTGGGCCCACTGCACAGAGGATGTCTGCTTGTACACTGTTTACTCTCGAAACCACAGCGATGGCACAGGCTCCGAGGCCAGGCCAGCCTGGTTGGATCCTGGCACCTTCRCATACCAGTTGACTCTGGACATGTGACTTCACCTCTCTGAGACTCCATCTCCTCCAAGCAAATTAGGGAGCGAGCGCAGGACTGTTGGGAGGCATAAGAGGGCTATCAGTGAAATGCTTACCAGAGGACCTGGCCCATAGCGGGTACCTGATAAATAATAACAAGAGCTAACGTATATTCCTGGAAACTTACCAGCAGAACCTTCTCTAATCCCCTATCAGTCCCATTTGACAAAGGAGAAACTTGAAGCAAAACTAACTGTGATACTGCTCCAAGGTCAGTGGCCCCACTTGTAGCTCTCACTTGAGGAAAGAGCAGAAGTGAATGGAAACCAGAACTGGGCCCCCTAATGTGAGGATGCTCCCTCTCCATCCTACCCTCTCTTTGCCAGTTCAAAGTGGACAGGCTGCTGACACTGTTTCTGTGACCTCTAGTTGGGCACTGAGCTCCAGTGTGGCTAGATGACACAGGCTCATCTAGATGACAGGACGGTGGACTCTAGTAAATTCTGTTGAGAAATGCTGAGGGTGGGGTCTGCCTGGGGGTGGGCTG